CAGTCAGGGTTATACAAGATGCAGGTCCCAGAAACTTCCCAGTCTCCCTGTGAGTTGATCGTGTCTTAGGTCTTATGGATGGATAACAACGTGTTAACACTGGATCCCTCAAAAAGGCAGTCATGACAACATAAAAAAAGAATATTTTTAACTTATTGGTTTAATGTTTTCCTTGTAAAGTACCTAATTCTATTCAGTCCTCTATAGTATAGTCTTAATTTCTCCTATCCTTAAAATGAGAAACACTCCTTTTTTCTCAAAATCTTCCCATCTACAATACTTGGCAAACTTGCCTCATTTCCATTCTGTGCTTATCTCTTATTAAACCTTACAGCACTAGCAATGCGGCTGAAGATAAAGATTTCTCTTCTTTCTTTATTGTTTTAAGTAGTGGACTAAGTAAGAATGTGAGTTCCCTAAGGCCACACACAGCACATCTCTGGTGAGAAGTGTATTTTGACCCCAGGTGGAACACCAGATGGAGGAAGCAGGCTTCTCTCTCTAGTCAATGAGGCCAGGAGGACATGGTGTGGTATCCTGCTTCCCTCATTTCCCCCCTTCCGTGCAGTCTCCATTCCCAGAGCCGGGGGCGGGATGAGGGTGTGCAACGAAGCAGAAGGTACACAACTCCCAAGGGAAAGCGCCACAGAAGAAACAGTGGGATGCACTGCAAAATGCTACAGCTAGGAGGGTCCTTACAGCACATCTAATCTCGACTTCTAACTTTATTGGTAAAGAAAGCAGCCCAGAAAAGTTAAGTGATTAGTCCAAAGATACACAGCTAGTGGCCAGAACCAAAACCTAGGTTTTGGAAACCAGCCTGTTTTTCTGATCCTCCAACACATGGCAGAACTGAGTACAGGGAAAAGCAAAATAGAAAGCGAAGTCCATGGGCTACCCCCCCATCAACCCATGAACCAAATAATCATACCTCTCTTAAAACTACCCATGTCTTAATCTCCCATTTCTTTTCAGCTGTTAGCTTACTAAGCTCAAATGTTTGGTTCTTATCCAGGACTTAATGGATACCCTGGTGGCCTGAACAGTCAGAATCCCAACTCTGCCCCCCAGCATGTTGAAGCCTGAAAAGGGAGATCTTTGGGAAACAGGAGTAGAATATAAGTAGGCTCTCCAACTCAGGAATATTCTGGACCACACATCATGCTTATAATAATGCTGACTCCAAACTCAGCAGCTTCTGGAGCTTATGCAGGCAGAAAGGCAACGGACTACCCACTTAGCAAGAGGAAAATGCAAGACTTGGTAACAAATAAGGAAGCTAGAAGGAGGGCGAATGCTTTGGGTTCAGTCTGGAAGGTAGGAAATTACCTCCATTCAGAGCAGAAAACGACCTTTTAAAGCAGTGTATAGTATATTTGAAGAGGAACCCAGGATTCGTGAACTAGGTCCTTTGACATTCCCTATTCATATGCAAAGGAAGTCAGTTGCTGATTATCCCCCAAATGATTACCCATTTGGTTCAGTTACCCACAGTGTCTAGGGACCTCCAACAAGAGTGGGCCACAGACAGACCTGGTTAGATAGAAATAATAGTCTAATGTACTTCCCACCTTCCCAAATCACATGCCGGCATTACAGCAAGGGCCTTGGTGCCTCAAGCAAAGGGGAGTGAGTGACTAATGCATCTCCTAGCAGGCTGGTGGGACAGGTCATTTGAGCAAGTAAGCTACCTGGCTGCCTGTAAGCCCTGCGCCATCACCTGATGCAAAACTGCTCCAGGACTGGGGACAGGCAGAAGGTATAAGACTTCAGCATGAGGAGGTGACTTGGTGAATAGCTAACGTATATCGCTGAATTCCAAAGCAAATGTATTCTGGGGACCATGTACTATATTTACGTTATTCAGATCAAGAGTTCATCATAACAAGGTCATTCTTACACCCTCTTTCAGCTTATCTCACCCAAGAAAAACGGATTCCCACTGTATTCCTGAAGGATCAGGTACTCCAAAAATGGCCACTGAGCAACAGAAAAGACAAAAGATCAGAAAGAAGGACCCTTTTAAAATATGTAATAATTAGTAAACTAGCAAACCAAGAAATTGTCTTCTTTAAAAGTAAAAAGTGATACCTCTCATGACGATGAGACATGATGAAGGAAAAAAAAGGAGGAAAGGATAAATGAATGAATGAAAAACTCAGAGAGGTAAGGTAAACTAATAATTTAGATTATAGTCAAAAGTCAGGGCCCCATAGTAACAGGTAGAAAAGGAAGCTGAACAAAAGCTCTTTCTGCCTGCTGGGTTCCTAAGAGCCTAAAATGAGGGATTAAAATGGCTTTATTTCAACAGAACACATTTTGTCACCTGATCTCCATCCGTGACATGGATAAGAATAAGTAACTTATGGCTGCACTCTTAAAAAGCAACAAATCCCTGAATATTGTGCCTTGTTCACTTTAGGATAGCAAATCACTGATTGCTCGTGTATCGTACACACAAAAAAGATCTGTCTGTAACTTCTATTTTACGTTTTTATTTTAAAATAAATAGTGTTTCCAAAAAACATTGACTACAAGGGGAAATGAGTCAATAAAGGATGGGAGACAAAGGGGAAGCAGAGAGAAGACTCTAAGCCTAGAAACACAATGACGGGGGCACATTCAGAGAGGCCCTTGCCATGACCCTGTCCTCTCACTACTGCTCACATGGAGGCTCAGCAAATGTACTGGGACATGAGCTTAAGGGGTAGAGAGAACCGTTCCCTTGATATAAAAGGTGATATCAACTGATACTCACTCCAGCAATGTGAGCCCCCTCCGCCCCATCCAATCTCTAGGATTCTACCCTAAGTAAATTATCAAAGATATAGTCAAAGATTTATATAAAAGACAGTTCATCACAGCATCACTGACATTAACAAAGGATCTGAAACAACCAGAATTCTCAACAGTGTGGGAATGGACACCTACAATATGGTAGAGCCACTAGAAATCTACTTTCAAAGATTAGGGGCACAGGACATTAATTACTTGTGGTGTGGTACCATGTTAAGTGAGGAAGAAAAAACAGGATGTCAACCTGTATTTATATATGACTCTAAATTTTATTTGTATTGTACGCATTTTTAAATAGTGAAAGGAAATTCATGGACATACCAGTAAAGTTAGCTCTTTTCTAAACAGAGGGAAGATGGATGGTTTTTATTCCTTCTTTAGACTCGCTTCTAATGAACATACATTGCTTTTCTATCAGCAAAACACAGTAATTACCTCTTTTATAATATGCCTGCCCTAAAATATCTCATTTGAGGTCACCATTGTCAGTCTTGAGGAAAGGGTGCTAAAGGCTGACTCAGAGAAAGTCAAATCTACACAGTAACTTCTGAGAAGGGTGAGAAATCCCATGTGCCAGTCTAGCTTCTTTCTCTACGGTGGCTGCTGGCTCTGTTACTGGGCTTTCCAGGAAGATCTGTTGGGGAATCCATTGCTTCTTCCCACAGCAACCACTGCACCTACATAACCTCGTACGTGCTTCTCCCCTCTTAGCATGAGGATCACGGGGAAAGAGAATGAAAGCACCCTACTCCCTGTTTCAGGGGAAGTTTTTTTTGTAACCCTATCCAAATGACCCAAAATCAGCTACACAGATTTGGAAATATAAGTCACCAGTTATGTTCAGGAACCACATATAAAACCCTATTTCTCAAGAATGAATATAAAACAAAATCTGTGAGTGCCACCTTGTGGCAAGCCTGACTACTCTAACGACCACCCATCAGTCTCCAAGGTTCACCGCTGGACTCCAGAGCATGGGGTCCAGCCACTGAGGCACATGCCCACAATAACCTACCCCACTGAACATACGGTCCCTAAGGTGGCCGGTACTATTCATTTTCAAGGATCTCTAAGTTTAGGGCCCAGAAATGCCTGTTTGAGGACCAGAGGGAATGAAGGGGCGTAAGAACAAAATGCGCATGCGTTTCCGGACCATTTGTTGATGGGCTGAAGCTGCGCTGTGTGTGGTCCGTCCGTGCGCACGCTGTGCGTGGTATATCTGCGCGCAGGTCATGCCACTGCCACACGGCAGGGACCTGAGGGATATCTCCTCCCCCAAGAATAGTTACCGATTTTATAAAGCTGTGAAGAAAAAAGTGTTACATTTACAATCAGTGAGCTTTGTGCTTAGAAGAAGTTTTATTTATCAGTGTTAGAGCAACCATCACCAACTTGGGCACAATTTCAAAACAGCTCCTGTTGGATTCTGGCTATAAAATTATTGTTTAAGTTTGTTAACCATCTTGTAAAAAAGCTCTCCTCATACTTGAGAAAAAATACTAATCACTAATAACTTGCTTTCATGCTCAAAGTGGTGGCTTCACATAAAGAGATGAAACATCACCATTTTGAATATCTAAATATATGAATTAATCTCAGAGTCCCAGGCGTGAGAGCAGGTGGAGAAATCCTCACAATGCAATCTAACCAAAGGACTCCAAGAGACAATGAAGTGTTGAAAACAGGTCAGTATTACAAATCTGAAGGAACACAGAACCCGGAAGGGACCTGACACAGTGATTCTGAAAGATGAGAATCTTCCTCTCAGCAAGAGATTCAGCTAAAAACCTTGCACTTCTGGACAGGAGGATTGCGAAGTTCTCTTGAGAGATGGTGCTTGTACTTCTCTCGGCCCCACCCAGTTAGAAGGCCTATTTCCAGAAAAGGATTTCCTCCAGTGTTAGGGTGGAAGCATATGGCAGGAAGTCGCTGCTTTGGTCCTAGACGTGTAAAGGGGGACATTCTCAAGTATGGAAATAAACTGAAGTGACCTAGATGGCATGGATCTCAACCAGGTGAGTTGTGGGAGAGCATGAAGCCAAGGAATTTATAATTATGAGTGTGAACTGGGAAAATGAATCTGACTCCTCGTTCACCTCTCCAACCTCCACAAGAACGTTCTCTCCCATCCTAACCCAATGGGATTAAAATACTTGGCTGCCTCTGTTTGAGAAAAACCAACATACTGGGCAGGGAAGAAATGTATTAAAAACCTGAGCATCTTGACAAGTCACCTCAGGGGAGAATCCTTCATTTGCTGTCTGCACAGGGAAAGCAAAAGAAGGAAAGTAAAATAATGGCCAAGGCCCTTTTGTCCACGAAAATAAAATAAGAGGGAGGCAAAAAGAATTCTCACCCTGCCCAACTAAAATCCACAACCACACGCTCCCCTTGAAGCAACAGCCTGGCTCCACCAGAAGCATCCTGGGATCGGCGTGGGTTAGCATTCCAAGTTGTGACAATAGGCTCTGACAATTAATGGCACGGGAAGAGGTGACTTTCCCACCTTGGCTCAGCTTCCTGGCCGTCCTCACCTGGGAGGAGAGCGGCTGTCACGACAGCTTGACGGGAAGGTCTTCCCCGTATCTCCGGAGCAGCTTCTGATGGTTGTGGTCCACGGACCACTGCTGGGGCAGGTGCCTGGGCTGCATGGAGTCCAGGAAGTGCTGACGCCAGCGGCTCTCCAGCTGCATGAGGGAGCGCAGCCCGCCGCGGCTGTGGCACCGCACCACCCTCAGCCCGTGAGGGACGTAGTTTTCGTTGGAAATCCTGGCAAGACACAAAGTACAGGGGTCTGAGGGAGGCAAGCGCGGCATGGTGGCACAGATGGCTCCAAATGCTGCAGGCCAAGGGGCTTCCACAAGGGTAGATGAGGAGGTGCTAGACTTCTAAAGGGTTGATTGCATTAATGCTTTAAAAAAAAAAGATTGTATTTATTTACTTGAGAGAGAGAGAGAGCATGGGCAGGAGGGGAAGGGGCAGAGGGAGAAGCGGACTCCCCGCTGAGCAGGGGCTCACTCCCAGGACCCTGAGGTCATGACCTGGGCCGAAGGCTGCCGCTTAACGGACTGAGCCACCCAGGTGCCCCCTACTTTGTTTTTAAAGCATCTTTCCTACATCTGCCTTTTTAAAGTAGTTTGGACATACTGCACACAGTCCAACAGAAAGGTGTTTGGGGATTCTGAGCTGTATTTGTGGGAAGGCCCCTGCAGGTTGCTCAGCCCCCACTCCAGGGGCCGTACTGTCTGGCTGACAATGAGTGAAGAATGTCGTTGGTCTTTTATTTCCTCCAGGGTTACTCAGGTACCAGCCGCCCTTCTTTTAAGTTATTCATTCTCAACCATACTTAGTACCTATATGGGGCTGTTACATCACCCCACATGTTCCAATGTCTCAAACACTGGAACACCTACATGTAAAATGCAAGGTGGGACATTTCTTTAGTGCCTGCTTCCTCCCAGAAAGAATACCAAGCCGGCCGGCTCAGGCAGTCCAGCCAGTGGTATTGTAACAGCATTCTGTGGTGACAGGCGGGAGCTCCACCTGTGGTGAGCACAGCCTACCACGTGGACTTGGTGAATCCCTGTTGTACACCTGAAACTACTGTAATATTCTGTGACTGTGTCAACGACGCTTCAATTTTAAAAAAATATAAATAAAAAAAGATGGGGGCGCCTGGCTGGCTCAGCCAGTAGAACATGCAACCCTCGATCATACGGTCATGAGTTCGAGCCCCACGTTGGGCCTCGAGATTACTTAAAAAAAAATCAACAAATAAAAATCTTAGGGCGCCTGGCTGGCTCAGTCAGTGGAGCATGCAGCTCTTGATCTTGGGGTTGTAAGTTCAAGCCCCATGTTGGGTGTAGAGATTACTCAAAATTACAGTCTTTAAAAAAAAAAAAGAATGCCAAACCACATCCATGAGAGACATGTTTTGGTCCTATGAAACAGTCAGTTGGGCAGCCGGTGCTGTTTAATGGAAGATGAATCCCTGCCTTCTTCCTAACTAAGCAGAGAGACCTTAAAAAGTGCTCTGATGCCCTGCAAACAGTGCTTTCACCTCCCATGAGTAATGACTACTTTTCTTGAGGAAGCCCCTACCCTATGGACTCAGTTCCCCTCCTTGCACCCAGACCCCCCTCTCAATACCCTCTCCCCAATTCTAGCAGTGCTAGTGCTCTCTCGGGGTCTGCAGCCACTTTACTGCTTAGCTCACAAGTGTACCACTAACGTGCCTAGCTCCCCCCAAACAGCTATTCTTCTCGGCCCCCGACATCCAAGTCCAGCATCCCTCTATCCAAGTCAGCAAGGTGATTGGTTAGAAAGGTCTGTGGCTCAAAGGGGAAAGTTTAGTTGTTTTAGCAAATACATCTGGGAATTGGCCAAAGGAACCAGTCTCATTAATTTCTCATCAGATCTTGGCAAGTTACTTAACTTTAACCTCAGGGTAGCGAACATAAAACTTGGAAAATAACATCTATTCTACAACCTCATAAAATAGTTATAAGGATAAAACTCATTAGTACGGTTTTTTTTTAACTTCAAAAGATTTAAGAAATGCAAGATATAATGCTAGCAGTTACCAGTAAGAAATCTAAATCCTATTTCATAGGGTTGTTAGAAGAACCAATTAAGGCAATTTATAGAAAGTTTATTAGCTTGGTTAAGTAGATTAGGATATCTATAACTATTTGTTTGATAAATGTTGCTGCTATCTTTAAGATCTTTGGGTAATGAAACTGTATAGGCCACCAGCATCACTCTCACGGTTTTGTGAACTTATCAGTGCAATTCTTTCAGTCCCTAGTACTACTGGAAAAGTGATACCGGGAAGCAAAACTAGAGCAGGTGGCCCAGAGTCTCTTTCACTCAGCCGTGTACCCATTCATTTCTCAGGACCATCGGCTTCTCATTGAGGAACACTGAATTAAGTCACGAGTTCAACTCTGTACTCATGGGGAAGGAGAGAAAGCAAAGAAGGAAGGAAAAAGGAGAAAAGTAACATGAACAGTAAGAGCAATTCTGGCCAACATTCTATTCGGTGGGCCAGGACCCTGAGTGCAGATGAGACAGCGAACATGAATCCATCACTGGTCTCAGTTCCCACAGACCTGGGTAAGATAAGAGACATAAAGCCACATACGTCGTACTCATGAGCAACTTCAGAGACCCGAGGGTATTTTTTGAGGATTATTTTCATCTCCTGTGCCGACTTTAGGATTTACTTCTGCATAGAATGCCTAAGGCACAGCTCCACTGCATTTGAGCTCATCTGCTAATCATGAAAACGACTGGATGTAGATGACCCTAAAGGGTCAAGGACAGAAGGCAAGTCTCCTACGGAAAGGAAATTCTCAAACTGATTCTTCTCTCCCAGCCCTACGGTATTTTAAGCCATTAGACACTCAGTGGGAGAAGAGGAGGCTATGCTCTGCACCTAAATGGCTAATGCCCCGCCCCCTTCCTGGCAAGCATCCTCACTAAGTAGTCAGGGTTAATGCCACTGGGTTATTCCTCAATCCCTTCTCAGATCAGAACTGTCCACTGTACCTTGTCTCCAGGCTGGCAGCCTCTTGAAGCATCTCATCCGTGACTGTGTCTGTGTTATAAAACTCTCTGAGCGCTTGCAGCAGCTCCTCCTTTCGATGAGCAGGCAGGCTCTCCGCGTTGAGCAGGGCCCTGGCCCCAGAGCGTACCTGCCGGCGCTCAGGGTCTTCCAGCAGGCGCAGACCCTCCTCGGAGCCAATGGGGGCCTGGAACTCTCTGGCCAGCTGCTGCTTCAGGTGGTTGTCATAGTAGTTAGAGATGGCGTGGCAGGAGGTGCAGAGCAGAAGCACATCGTGCGAGTTGTGGTCCTTCATCTCAATGGGGAAGTGCTTCCGGTACTCATGCGGAATCACGTTCTTCCTGCCAAGCCCACCCAGAAGGCAGTGCTCGTTAGCAAAGGACACAGAACACAGGTGGAGCTAGGAGGCAGGCCACTGGGGTTCTCATCTGGGCCTACACAGGACTGAGAAGCCTTGGGCACCACAACCCAACAGAGATTACATAAAGGCAATACTGCTTCTTCCTCTCTCGGCCTACCTACCTAGCTGTGCCTTAGTTTCCTCTCTCCGAGGAGCAAGTTCATACCACCTGCTAGCAAGAGTCAGCGGAGGGCCAAGGCAGGGGAAGACTAATAACAACTGTGCTCCCAGAAGGAAAAGTATCAGAGAAATGAAAAAAAATTCTAATGACCTTTAACACCTGGAAAATAACTCTCTCAAAGCATGTAGCAGGTCCCTCTACTCCTGAAATTTTGGAAGCCTGGTGACCTAAAAAAAGCAAATTTCGGGACGCCTGGGTGGCTCAGTCGTTAGGCGGCTGCCTTCAGCTCAGGTCATGATTCCAGGGTCCTGGGATCGAGCCCCGCATCGGGCTCCCAGCTTGGCGGGAAGCCTGCTTCTCCCTCTCCCGCTCCCCCTGCTTGTGTTCCCTCTCTCGCTGTGTCTCTCTCTGTCAAATAAATAAATAAAATCTTTAAAAAAAAAAAAGCAAGTTTCCTCATCTGAGGAACCCCTTACTCAGACTACGTCCGTGGCTCATCAAGGCCCATGGTTCTTTTCTAAGGAGAACTGAGCTCTCAGGAAAAACTCTTGGCATTCAAAACTATTTGTCTCACTTTGTAAGAGGAGAGTAGGAAAGTGAGTTACTCCACTGAAGCCAGGGAATACAGCCAAAGTGTGCCTTCAGGCCTCTGAATACAGGCATACCTCATTTTACCACACTTTGCAGATATTGCATTTTTTACAAATTGAAAGTCTGTGGCAACTCTGCATCATGCAAGTTTACGGGCCCTGTTTTTTTTTTTCCAACAGCATTTGTTCACTTTGTGTCTCTGTGTCACATTTTGGTAATTCTCTCAACATTTCAAACTTTTTCATTGTTACTATATTTGTTATGCTGATCTGTGATCACTATCCTAGGTGTCACTATAGTAATTGTTTTGGGAAGCCATGAACCACGCCCACGTAAGACAGCGTACTCAATAGATCAATGTGTGTGTTCTGACTGCCTCACCAACCGGCCATTCCTGTTTCTCTCTCCCTCTCCTCGGGCCTCCTTACTCCTTGAGATGCAATGATATTGATATCAGGCCAATTAATAACCTACTACAATGACCTCTAAGTGTTCAAGTGAAAGGAAGAGAGGCATGTCTCCCACTTTAAATCAAAAGCTAGAAATGATTACATTTAGTGAGGAAGGCATGTCGAAAGCCAAGACAGACCGAAAGCTAGGCCTCCTGCTGCAGTTAGCCAAGTTGTGACGACACAGGAGAAGTTCTTGAAGGCAATTAAAAGTGCTGCTCCAGTGAACACATAAATGCTATGCAAACCAAACAGCCTTACTGCTGACATGGAGAAAGGTTAGTGGTCTGGACAGAAGACCAAACCAGCCATTCGGTTATCTTAAGCCAAACCCTAATCCAGGGCAAGGCCCTAACTCTCTTCAATTCTGTGAAGGCTGAGACAGGTGAGGAAGCTGCAGAAGAAAAGTCTGAAGCTAGCTGGGTTGGTTCATGAAGTTTAAGGAAAGAAACCATCTCCCTAAACATCAAAGTACAAGATGAAGCCTCAAGTGCTGATGTAGAAGCTGCAGTGAGTTATGCAGAAGATCTAGCTAAGATCATTAACGAAGGTGGCTACACTTAACAGCAGATTTTCACTGTGGATGAGACAGCCTTCGACTGCAAGAAGATGCCATCTAGGATTTTCATAGCTAAAGAGGAGAAGTCCATGCCTGGCTTCAAAACTTCAAAAGCCAGGCTGACTCTCTTACTTGGGACTAATGCAGCTGGTGACTTTAAGTTGAAGCCAATGCTCATGGACCATTCCAAAAATCCCAGAGCCCTTCAGAATTATGCTAAATCTACTCTGCCTGTGCTCTCTAAATGGAACAACAAAGCCTGGATGACAGCATTCCTGTTTACCACATGGTTTACTGAATATTTGAATCCCACTGTTGGGACTACTACGCAGGAAAAAAAAAAAAACAAAATTCCTTTTAAAATATTACTGCTTGGGGTGCCTGGGTGGCTCAGTCAGCTGAGTGTCTACCTTTGGCTCAGGTCATGATCCCAGGGTCCTGGGACTGAGCCCCACATCAGGCTCCCTGCTCAGTGGAGAGTCTGCTTGTCCCTCTGTGTCCCTCACCGCCCGCTCATGCTCTGTGCTCTTTCTCAAATAAATAAATAAAATCTTTAAAAAATAAAATATTACTGCTCATTGATAGTGTATCTGGTCACCCAAGAACTCTGATAGAGATGTACAGTGAGATTAATGTTCTTTTCAGGTCTGCTAACACGACATCTATTCTGCAGCCTGTGGATCAAGCAGTAATTATGATTTTTAAGTCTTATTATTTAAGAAATACATTTCATAAGGCTATAGCTACCATAAATAGAGATTCCTCTAATGGATCTGGACAAAGTAAACTGAAAACCTTCCGGAAAGGATTCACCATTTTAGATGCCATTAAGAACATTCATGATCATGGGAAGAGGTCAAAATACCAACATTAATTAACAGGACTCTCTAGCCCTCATGGATGACTTTGAGGGGTTTAAGACTTTGGTGGAGGAAGTAACTACAGATGTGGTGGGAAACAGCAAGAGAACCGGAATTAGAAGTGGAACCTGAAGATGGGACCGAACTGCAGCAATTGTTTTATCTTATGATAAAACTTAAAAGGATGAGGAGTTGCTTCTTGTTGAATGAGCAAAGAAAGAGGTTTCTTGAGATGGGATCTACTCCCAGTGAAGAGGCTGTGAAGCTTGTTGAAATGACAACAATGGATTTAAAATACTATATAAACTTAGTTGACTAGGCAGTGGTAAAATTTGAGAGGACTAACTCCATTTTGGAAGAAGTTCTTCTATGGGCGAAATGCTATCAAACAACATCACATGCTACAGAGTAATCATTCATGAAGAGTTAATCGATTGCAGCAACCTTCACTGTTGTCTTATTTTAAGAAACTGCCACAGCCACCACCCTGATCAGTCAGCAACTGTCAACATCATGGCAATAACCTCGCCCAGCAAAAAGATTACGGCTCACTGAAAGCTCAGATGTGGTGAGCATTTTTTAGCAATAGAGTATTTTTATTTATTAATTATTTATTTTTAAAGTAATCTCTACACCCAACGTGTGGCTCGAATTCATGACCCCAAGAATCAAGAGTCACATCCTCTATTGGCTGAGCCAGCCGGGTGCCCCAGCAATAAAGGTTTTGTTTTGTTTTGTTTTGTTTTATAGAGAGAGAGTGAGCAGGGGGGGAGGGGCGGAAGGAGATGGAGAGAGAAGCTCAAGCAGGCTCCATGCTCAGCACAGAGCCTGATGCAGGGCTGGATCTCACGACCTTGAGATCATGACCTGAGCCAAAATCAAGAGTCGGATGCTTAACCAATTGAGCCAGCCAGGCACCCCAGCAATAAAATATTTTTAAATGAAAGTATATACATTGCGGGGTGCCTAGGTGGCTCAGTTGTTAAGCGTCTGCCTTCGGCTCAGGTCATGATCCCAGGGTCCTGGGATCGAGTCCCACTTCGGACTCCCTGCTCAGCGGGAAGCTGCTTCTCCCTCTCCCACTCCCCCTGTTTGTGTTCCCTCTCGCTGTGTCTCTGTCAAATAAATAAACTCTTTAAAAAAAAAAAAAGAAAGAAAGTATATACATTGTTTTTTTAGATATAACATTACTGCACAACTAACAGTCAACAGTATGGTGTAAACATAATTTTTAAATGACTGGGAAAACCAGAAAATTCATTTGACTCACATTTTTTTTTTTGAAGATTTTATTTATTTATTTAGAAAGAGACGGAGTGTGAGTGGGGGTGGGTAGGAGCAGAGGGGGAGAGAGAATCTTAAGCAGGCTCCATGCCCAGCATGGACCCCAATGCGGCTTGATCTCATGACCCTGAGATCATGTCCTGAGCTGAAATCAGGAGTTGGTCATTTAATTGACTGAGCCACCCAGGCACCCCTAAAGATTTTATTTTTAAGTAATCTCAACACCCAACGCAGACCTCGAACTTACAACCCCAAGATCAAGAATCGCACTCTCCACTGACTAAGCCGGCCAGGCACCCCTGACTCACTCACTTTACTGCGGTATTTGCGGTGGGCTGGAAACAGACCTGCAATATCTCTGAGGTATGCCTAGGTATGCCTGTATGCCAGGAACGGTATCAAGGCTCAGAAAGTTGTGAGCCACTCATGGGAAGATTATAAGGACACACAGAGAAAGGCAGCTTCTGAAAGAAATGGGTCCCCAGTCTTTCATGAGCAAAGGGGAACCACTCTCTTTATGGCAAACTGTTACTAAGAAGAGTACTGCCTTCTTAAAACCAAGAACAGGGCTCAGGATAGGCAGGAGAGCACGACAGCAGGACCACACGGAGGGGAAAAGTTCTCAGGAAAACTGGGATGACCCCTACAGACAAGTGTCTCAGCCAAAGCTGGCAGATTCAACCAATACCTGAGAGCTCCACATGTGGCTACAAAGGCAGTTTCCATCAGAGACAGACAGTCTGGGTGGCCCAACCCCACACTCACCGAATGTACGAGTCTTTCTTGCCACAGACTACACACAGGTTCTCTTTAACCATCAAGTAATAGTCTCCTGGAGATTCGGGTCTTCCTGCAGGTTCAAACTGTAGCTTGACCACAAAAGGCTCCTCACTCACCAGCTCTTAGAGAAAAGACAAGAGGTCAGTGTTTGCCCACCTGTCCCTCAGGAAAGAAGCCCCACCTGAAATGTTATCTGCAGTGTCCTGGCAGAGATCATGATTTCTGGCTTCTGAATAGCCACGTCCCACTTGTCTCGAGGTCGTTCTGCCTTCTCCTATCCCTCCCTGCCCCTTGTCTCTCTCTCCACTCCTGCCTGTACCCACATACACCTAAATGTAGATGAAACAGGACGGGTAAGTCTCACACCTCCAATGCCTTTGTCCAGGTACCACTGAGCTTTCCTTCGGTCACAAGTGCAGAGGGGCTGTCCATCAGGAGCATGGAGGAAGCAGTTATCGTAGAGGGGCGATTTTCTGCAGGGAAACGAGAGATTAATCTAAAACTGGAAGCTAGCTCTGGGCCAAGGTATCAGTTGCCTCCCATGTTGTCTTTTTTTTTTTTTTTTTTTTAAAGATTTTACTTATTTATTTGGCAGAGAGAGATTAAGAAAGAGCACACAAGCAGGGGGGGCAGCAGAGGGAGACGGAGAAGTAGGCTCTCCGCTGAGCAGGGAGCCCAATGCGGGGCTCGATCCCATGTGACCTGAGCCGAAGGCAGACGCTTAACTGACAGCCACCCAGACGCCCCTCCCATGTTGTCTTCTGAGTGACTCCAGCTGTCCTCAACACTAGGGTCAAACATTGTATTTATGGAAAAAAATAGGGCAAAAAAAAATCGCGTTTGTTCCTCCACCTGCATGGCCTAGGAACTAAAAATGAATTCATTTATCTAGTTTTTATGTTTATGGAACAAGGAGTGAGTTGGGTAGTATATACACAGCTCTGCTGTGAAGGCGAACAGGAACAAAGCACCAAGAAAACTGCTCTACAGAGTAATCATTGGGTTAAACAAAGTAAATTAAAATTAAAGAACTTCAAGCTAAAGTAATGAGGGCCACATGGGTTTATTTCTGGTTCATACGCAATACTTGCTTCAATTTAATCATTCAATTCCTAAAGGCACTCTGCTACAGGGACCAAACTTCCACTCCAAAGTACTTATTAGTCATCTTTTTGCAACAGAGGCGTAAGTTGTACAGAAAAACTCTCACTGGTTAGAGAATGATATTGGCTTAGAGCTGGATGCCTTTCTAAATAATCAAATACCAAATGAGGAGAAAATCAGATGATGCATTTCTCCCGAAATGTATGAGGCAAATTCATGTTATTCATTTTCACAGGTATCCTGAGCAAGCAAGGAGTAATAATTATACCCTCATTTATAACTAGAGAAGTTACAAGGCTCAAGTCATATCAGGATCAGTAACAAAGCTAGGTTAAGCTCTCCTTATATCCACTCAATTCTAAAAATTACAAAGTAAAAGAAGGGGAAAAGGAGGGAAATACACAAATAGATCAAAGGATAGCTCCAAATGTCCTTGAAGGAAAGGAAAAATCAAATTAACCTCTGGGGGAAAAAAAAATTAACCCCTGGAGCACCTGCTACCCTACCACACAACCTTCTCCCCAGACCCAAGATGAAGCATCATGCCTTTTGCTGGAGGCTAGGCCTCTGAGTCTCTCTCTACCAGACAGAGAACAACTCAGTTACCTGGCCGAATAGCCCACCCCCAGGGGCTTTCTTTTATGCTTTCTGGGATCTCTCCCTTGGTGGTTGCCTGCCATCATTCCATCTGTCTTAGACTTCTTATTTCTTGGCTTCTGCTGAGCTTCTGCTGCTTCCCTATTAACCTCTTCCTCCAGTCGGCTGAGTCCTTTGCTTCGGAATGGGATGTCTACCACATCCTGGCAATTTTCCAAGGCTTTTCTCCAGCCCACGTGGTCATCGTTTTCATCTAGAGTTGAATTCCTAGAGAAAGGGTATCCAAGAAGATGGAGAAAGAGAGCCACTGAAATCTGGGCATCCCTGGCAGCATAAATCACCTGAAGAGAAAAGTCAGAGATCAGTGGAATCTGGAAAGCAAACCAGAGAGTGCAATTTCCAAATCAATAACAAGGATGCACACAACTTTCAGAATTCTAATTCAAGATGTACAATACCCTAAGCACCATGTACTTCTTAAAAACCTTTTATGATGAAATACTTCACACTATTCGAAAGTAAACTGAATAGTATAATCAATCTTCATGTTTCTTGTCTATGTTAAAATAATGACTTTGAATAGTCAAAAATCCTAACCTATATAAACCCAGTGAAGTTTCTTTCTATCTGTTACCAAACCTGATGGATTTTTCTCAAGGTTGGGTAAGGGTAGTCACCACAAGTTTGACAACTAGTACATGAAATTCACTTTGGAGGTGGCCATCATCTAGAACACCTGAAAACAAGATTTATTGAGAGGCCTGTGTGACTTTCAATCAGAAACAACCTGCCATTAAGATGTGGAAAACAAGCATGCGTTTCAAGCATGGGCCTCAAATCAAAAGTCACAAGGGCTCATTTCTGGAATTCATTTATTTAATAATGGTAAGCCACCCTCCCAAGCAACTGGTGATGGAAAAGCTGGTCATAAATAAAAGTAGCCAAAACTATCATTAATAGCTTTTCCCAACAAAGGGAGTAAAGACTTTAAAATTCCTTTAATTTATCTTTAGTAACCAAGCCTGGTAAATAATACTATTAGGGAGGATTTTTTATGCTTTTAGAATAAAATAGGTTTGGATAAAATCTTCCACCTAGACTCAACAATCTACACATCTACCAGCAGGTTGTCTCCCACAGGAAAAGAGTGTGCTTGAATGTGAAGAGTTTAAAGTGCTTTTTAGGGGCACCTGAACCTGGGTGGTTCAGTCGGTTAAATGTCTGCCTTCAGCTCAGGTCATGATCCCCAGGTCCTGGGATCCAGCCCTGTGTCAGGCTCCCTGCTCAGTGGGGAGTCTGCTTCTCCTTCTCCTTCTGCCCCTCCTCCCACTCATTCTCTCTCTCACTCTCTCTCAAATAAATAAATAAAATCTTTTAAAAAAAGTAAAGTGCTTTTTAACAAACTGTTAAGGAAACCAAGGCACTTTCAACAGATGCTGTTGAGACAACCGGATGACCACATGTAAAAGAATAAAATTGGACCCCTACCTCACATCACACACAAAAATTAACTCAAAATGGATCATAAACATAAATGTAAGAGCTAAAACCTAAGACTTGTAAAAGAAAACATAGGAATAAATGTTCATGACCCTGGAGTAGACAATGATTTCTTGGATACAACACCAAAAGCATAAGTGATAAGCAAAAAAATAGATTAACTGGGCATCATCAATATTAAAACCTTTTTTGCTTCAAATGGTGACCTCACCCAAGTAAGTGAAAAGACCACCTGAAGAATGAGAGGAAATATTTACACACTATATATCTAATAAGGGACTAGTGTCCAAAATATATAAAGAACCCTTAAAAGTCAACAATATAAAAACAAACAACTCAATTAAAAAATGAGCAAAGGATTTGAATAGATGCTTCTCCAAAGAAAATATACAAATAGCCAACAAGCACATGAAAAGACGTTCAGCATCATTAGCCACCAGGGAAATGTAAATCAAAACCACAATGAAATACCATTTCATACCTACTAGTATGGCTCTAATCAAAAAGACAGTAACAAGTGTTGGTGAGGATGTGGAAAACTGGAACCTTCATACTTTGCCGGTAAGAATATAAAATGGTACAGCTACTTTGCAAAACAGTCTGGCAGTTCCTTAAACAGTTGAACATAAAGTTTATGACCCAGCAATTCCACTCCTAGGTATATACCCAAGATAAGTAAAAACATATGACATATGTCCACACAAAATTTTATACACAAATGTTCATAGTGGCATTCCTCGTAACAGCCAAAAAATGAAAGCCATCCAAACCTCCACCAACTGATGAATGGATAAACAAAATGTAGTATAACCATATAATGGAGTATTGCATAGCAATAAAAAGAAATTAAGTACCAATAAATGTTAAAACATGAATGAACCACAAAAACATGCAGAATTAAGAAGCCAATCACAAAAGACCATATATTGTATGATTCCATTTATATGAAATGTCCAAAATAGACAAATGTATAAAGACAAAAGGTAGATTAGTGGTTGCCTAGTGTTAGGGTGTTGTGGGGGGGATGGGATGTGACTGTAGGATGGGAAGTGACGGCTAATCAGTATGGAGTTTCTTTTTGGGATGATAAAAATGTTCTAAAATTAGACAGTGGTGATGGTTGCACAACTCTATAAAAATACTAAAATCCATTGATTTTTACACTTTATTATTTTTTTTAAGTAGGCTCCATGTCCAACATGGAGCTTGAACTCACGATCCTGAGATTATGAGTCACATGCTCTACAGACTGGGCCAGCCAGGTGCCCCAATTTGTATTCTTTAAATGTCTGAATTATATCGTATGTAAGTGATACCGCAATAAAACTGTTAAAAAAAGAAAAAAAGAAAGGAACCAAAGCACAAAGAAGTGACTTACTTAGGGTCACAGAAAGTCAGAAATAGCTGCAGAAAACAAATTCAGATAATTTGACTCCCAAAACTCTCTCACAGGATAATGTTAACCTGAAGATATCAGCTAAATCTTTCCAATAACAACATTTTGGAAGGATGAACAAGTGGCGACCAACTTGGCAAACAAGAGAAGGCTAAAATCTAGGCCTATGGGGGTGGTAAGCCAAGACTCCAAGAATTAAGTTAATTTGAGCCACAGAGAATGGCAAAACATTAGGAATGGGAAGCACCAGGTATCTGTGAAAGTAAGTACGTGTAGGGGTGAAAACAAGAAGATAAGATGAAAGCCTCCATAAAAAACACTTAGAACCTAGACTTTGTCCTTTACACCACAGGGCTGGCAATAACTCCTTCTCCAACCCCCCCAAAAGTAAAAGTTTAAGTCCTATAATGGCTAACTCACAGAGGATCTGGATCTAGTAACACCAGGCCTGGCATGGGGGGAGGGGAGGCAAAGCGTCACCTGAGAAAGGGACTATGGGAAAGTGTACATATGGACTGGTGAAACTACCAATACCTTTCCCCACTCAGCAACCAGAATGTAAGCAGAGGGGCTTATACCTCTTGGGCAGAAAACTAGATGATTCATCTCTGGAGAAAGTGAGTAGCCTGAGAAAAAAAGAGTTTCAGTTACTGACATGTGACTATAATCTACAGGTTCTGATAATAAAGCCCACTGGTCCAAAAGCCCTGGCTATATTTGCTATGTTCTCAATCCATTTCTTAAAATTCAAATTTAAATAGCATTTTCTAAAATCTCATTAAGCTTTATGTTTATAATTAGAACAAAATATTGAAAGAAAGAATGAACAGGGGCGCCTAGATGGCTCAGTAGGAAGAGCGTGCAACCCTTGATCTTGGGATTGTGAGTTCGAGTCGCATTGTTGGGTGTAAAGGTTACTAAAGAAAATAAATAAACTTAAAAAATTTAAAAAAAAAAGAATGAATAAGAGTCTTTGGAAATTCTGAATTCTCACAATAAAAAGGATCACAAATTTGGCTTCAAATTTGGTAGCAATTAACTTTTCCTCCCCAACTTTTTATTTTAAAAGTTTTCAAACCTAAAGAAAAGTTAAAAGAATAATAATGCCAACTGACGTTCACAACTGTCAATACTTGCTTTATCTCTTTATAATATGGACACCACACACTTTTTTTTGCCTGAACACATTTCAAAATTAAGTTGCAGCTATTATGATACTTCATCTCTAAATGCGTCAGCATGTACTTCTGAAGAACAAGGACATTCTTCTACATGACCTCACCATTACCACACCCAAGAACTTTAAAAGTGACAAAGTACAATAATACACAGTTCTATCTGAATGTCTCCAATTGTTCCAAACATGTCTTTTCAGATGGTGCAAGATTCTGGATTTTAATAAACTTACAGAATTGCACAACCCATCACCACAATCAATATTAAAACACTTCCATAACCTCAAAAAAAAACCTTATTCCCTTTAGCAGTCATCCTCTACTTCTTTCAGCCCTAGGCAACCATTAATTTCTGTTGTCTCTATAGATTTATATATTCTGAACATTTCATAAAAATAGAATCTGATATGATATTTTACAACTGGCTTCTTTCACTTAGCATAATGTTTTCAAGACGCATCCATGTTGTACCATGTGTCCTTTTTATTTCTGAATAATACTCCATTATAAGGCTATACCACATTTTACTTATTCATTCAACAGTTGATGGACCCAATCAACTTTTTAATGTGTTTTTAAATATGAATGGACAGCCAAGTATCTAAGCGTTTAAGAAAAATATTTAATGTGAAAGACAAAGACCAAATCAAACATTTCAAATAAGGAACTCAGAGGAAAATGAAGCAATACAGGAAGAAGAAAACCTCAGAAATCTTTAATACTCTAAGATAACAGAAGATACTGTATCTATTACACAAAAACAAAGTAATTTTAAAAGTGAATATTCAGAGGACACTAAGAATCTCTTGTCACTTAAAATTATGATAGGAATAATTAAAAATTCAATAGAAATGTTAGAAGATAAACTTGAGGAAATTTCCCAGAAGGTAAAACAAAACATACAGAGATAGAAAAATCAGAGAGAAAATATTTTTCCTAGGAAATCAGAGGATCAATTCAAGGGGGTCCAATATCCAAATAATATGAGTTCTAGAAACAAAAGGGAGGGGAATTTTCAAAGAAATATTATGAGAATAATTATCTGAACTAAAAGACATGAGCTTCCAGATTGAAAGGGTCCACTGGCTTCTAATACTAAAATGAAAAATAGCCCACACTAATGTATATCATCATGAATTTTCGGAACTAAGAATAGGGGCGCCTGGCTGGCTCAGTCGTTAAGCATCTGCCTTTGGCTCAGGTCATGATCCTGGGGTCCTGGGATCGATCCCCGCATTAGGCTCCCTGCTCAGAGGGGAGCCTGCTTCTCCCTCTCCCACTCCCCCTGCTGTGTTCCCTCTCTCGCTGTGTCTCTCTGTCAAATAAATAAAATCTTAAAAACAAACAAACAAACAAAAAACAAGAATAAAGTGAAGATTCTCCAGAAAGGAAAACAAGTGACGTGCTCAGTATCAATACTGGAAGCTCTAAGACCGGGAACATTACCTTTGAATTCTGAAGGAAAATGACTTTCACCCTAAACTGCTGTACTCAGTGAAAATATCAGTTCATAGACAGTGAAGCCAATATCTTTTCAGACATGCAGGGTATCATAAATTAATTTCCTATGCTCCCTTTCTTAATGTACTCCAAGACAAGGAAGGGAAAAGACATGGAATTTGAAAGACAGAGGATCTACTCCAGAAGAAAGGTGAAGGGACTCTCTAGGCTGAGGGTAAATGCAGATTCCAGGGTCAGAGCTGGGCAGCAGGGCTCTTGGAAAGAAGCAGGATGACAAAGGGTTCTGTCTGGAAGGGACAGCTCCAAGGGAAAACAAAAGGAGTAAGTCACCTCATGTGTCAGAACCGGCCAAGAAAAGATGTAGGGTTCCATTAAAGGGTCCAGGCTTGAAACAGTTAATAGGTATATAGAAAACAAAACAAAGTACCAATTATTACTCCTAGGAAAACAAAAAGTTGTATAAGAAAAAAACTTAATTGTTGCTTACTATGTGGCTCAGCTAAAATAATATCAATATAAGTAGATATTAATCTGATAAAAATGATGATTTAGCTATATTGGGAAGATGGGGAAGGGAAAAAGTATTTGTCTGGGGACAGAGGAATTACAAGAATATTAAATCATGTCTTCCACTGTAAGAAGTCAAAAGATAATATGAAAAATAAGAAAGAGTAATATATGCATGTAATTTAAATATATAATGGTAATTACCAGGAAGAAATGAAACTGGTTGCCACTGAGTGGGAGAAAGACACTGTTTCTTACAATGTCTTATAATACTTTGGTTTTCTAATTACGCATTTGTATTCATAATTAAAAAATTACATTTTCTGAAATGCCTGGCATATAGTAAATGCTCAAAAATATAAAACACAATAGGGACTCTTACTCTGTTACTTAAGTACCATTTACAAACTATAGACCAGTTAACCCTCAGTGAGTCTCTTTTCAAGTATTTCCCCCCAATACTTATATTTGAAGATTACAATTATAAGAACAACTATACTTCACAAGCAATGGCTCTTCCATTCTTCAACTACTCTGATAAGAAGTACCTGGTCTTCAGAAAGATGCTCAGCATCCCAGTTGCTACAACGAAGTAGAAGGGACTTGTCAAGTGGAAAGTTCAAAACTGTCTCAGCAAGTGATTTCAGACTGAGCCCATTACAGAGCAAATTGTTTCTATAAGAAATAAGTAAGTCATGTATCAAAAATGGGCAAAAGAAGAACAGGCAAATCAAAAAAGACATTTAAATGGCCAATACACGGATGGCAGACACTTAAACTCACTAGACATCAGATGAAATAAAATAAAAATTATAAATAATTTATCAGATTGTAAAGATTTAAAAAAATAACTGTATCTACTATTGGTGGAACATGAAGAATCAGTCTAATCTAAAATTTGTGAACAGTCCATTTTTATAAGCTTTACTGAAAACAGTTTAACAATAAAGAGCTTTCAAAATTTTCAACATGAAAATTCTGATTCAAGAATTCCACTTCTAGGAATTTATCCTAAGGACAAATGCACATAAAGTGATCTTCACTGCAGTACCATTTATAGGAGCAAAGAATTGGAAACAACCTAAATGCCCATCAACAAAAGGCTGGTTAAATATCTATGCAATTAAATTCCATACAGCTATTAAAAATAAGGATGTGGATGGGGCACCTGGGTGGCTGAGTCGGTTAAGCATCTGACTCTTGGTTTTGGCTCAGATCATGATCTCATGGGTCCTGGGATGGAGTCCCACACCTCCCCTGCCCTGCTGGGCTCCATGTTCAGCCAGCAGTCCATTTGATGATTCTCTCCCTCTGCCCCTGCCCCCCACTCATATAAATGCTCCCTCTTTCTCTCTCTAAAATGAATAAATCTTTAAAAAAAAATAAGGATGTGGATCTATATTGATGTGAAAAGATGTCCATGACATATTAGTTAAATAAAAAGAGACTGTGGGAGAAAACATATGTTGTGGTCCCTTTATGTTACTATATATACCACATTCCAGATGTATGTGTGTGAGTCTAGTTATGAGAGAGACAAAGCACAAAGAGATAACTAGAAAGATATCAATCACATGTTAGTGATATCTCTGGGTATGGGATTCGTGGTGATTATCTATCTTCTTTATATGTTTCTATATTTGCATTGGCTAGTATTCATGTAATTATTTTTCAAATTTGAAAACTGAAGGTACAAAAAAACACAAATAACCTTTCTGCCCTTCAAACACTTTCTGATTAAAATAGCTGCAGGGTGGCAGAAAAAAATTAATTTGTCCAAGGTTCGGAGATACCAAACAAAAAATAAATGTGAAATTAAGAACACATTGGTCTACATAAGTGGAGCTGACTTCCTGGCTACCGAGTGAGAGACTAGAAGTTTTAGAGCAGGAAGCTTAGAGGTGGGGGTTCACGTCAGGGTTACTGCAAGCAGGACTCCCTCAGGTACTGTAGGAAATGAAATCATTATAATGATGAAGAAAAGGAAGTCTTTCCCTACAAAAACCAGCAGTAATTGATGGATTTCATTACCCCCAAAAGGCAGTACTGACTAAAAAGTAAAAACAGGTCCAGACATACTTAGGGAAAAATACATAATGTCTTGGTTCAATTAATGAAAATTAAGGCTTTGGGAGACAAAAAACTCTCTTCTGTTTTGTTGGAAATTATAAAAGTAATGAATGCTTATTATTAAAAGTTCAGACAACAGGAAAGCATCACAGGTGAAAAGTAAAAGCCTATCGCCCCATACTTCCACTCCTTAGGAATAATGACTCCTAACAGTAGGCTGTGGCCCCTCCAGACCTTTTCTTTTTTTTTTTAATTTAATTTAATTTTATTGTGTTATGTTAGTCACCATACAGTACATCATTAGTTTTTGATGTAGTGTTCCATGATTCACTGTCTTTGTATAATACCCATCCTTAATACCCATCACCAGGCTAACCCATCCCACTGCCCCCCTCTCCAGACCTTTTCTGTGCACAAATAGATAAACTGATGGTTACGCGGAGAAGGAGATAACGTGTTTTTGGTATCTGTTCTGGTTTTTGCTCTGCAATGTGCTGTATTACTTAATATATCAGATACTTCCATTCATGGTAAGCATAAATGTACTTATTTCATTATTTTTTTTTAAAGATTTTATTTATTTATTTGACAGAGAGAGACACAGCGAGAGAGGGAACACAAGTAGGGGAAGTGGGAGAGGGAGAAGCAGGCTTCCCGCTGAGCAGGGAGCCCAACACGGGGCTCGATCCCAGGACCCTGGGACCACGACCTGAGCCGAAGACAGACGCTTAACGACTGAGCCACCCAGGCGCCCCTATTTCATTCTTTTTAATAGCTGTATAATTTTTCAGGCATGGCTATTCCTTAATTCTTGAAATTATTACCCTCGTTGAAGGACAGTACTTAATTTTTAAGCTACTTAATTCCATTTAGGTCATTAGTCTTTTTTTAAACGTCGTATTTGGAAAGGTTGCACATTTCTTGAGAATTAATTAAAAACAAGATGCCATCTTTGCCGTTTCAATTCACTAGGAAAGATTCCAAAGTCAATCTCTATAATAAATTACCTCTGGTTAACATATAACACAAAATATAAAGAGTAAGAAGAAAAGCATTACCAACAAATGTGCTCCTCCCAACGTCAATCGAAAGTAACAACTACTTATGGCAAATGTCAGGAGCAACCTATAGCTAACAGTGCGAAGTATAATCCTTGCACTATAATGTCAAATGTCTTAAACTATAATGGCAAAAACTTCTAATTTTACTACTAAAAAGTGTTCAACAATAAAATAGTTTTTAAAATGTTTTTAAAAATCTCATTAAACATGGAAAGGCCCGATAAATACTTCATTCTTATTTCTAGAGAAGTTCATGGTAATATTCAGCTTTGGCCAAATTCTTATTTTGATGCGTGGCCATTCTGCGCTTAGTGAAATGGAGAATTCGTGCACCTCTCATTTCTATCTATTCATGGAGAGGACTATAATTGCACAGAAGAGATCTGGAAGGACACACTGATCGATGAGGGCTCTGAGGGAGGTAGTGACAATGACGACGATGATGAGAACAGTAAGAGCTGAACACAGCAGTACACCGCACTGTCTCTGGGTGACACATTCTTTCCAAGTTCTTCACGCAGTTGAACTCTTGCAATCCTCACACCAATCCTGGGAGGCGGGAACCTAATTATTGCTGCAGATTAGGGAAGTGAGGGACAGCCACCGCACAGCCCACTCCAGGGTCAACTCTTAGCTCCTACACCCATCGCCTCTAACGGAAGAGAGTGACAGCGGACACCTCTGGGGAGGTGGTGCCCAGAGGGGAGGCGGGGGGGAAGGCCTGGTGAGAGGTGCCTGTTGGGGTGACACTCCAAATACTTTCACAGATTTAAATTTTTCTTACAGTAAATATGTCAATATATTTCTTGAAAACGCTTGATAATTTACAAGCGTTGTATTTACATAAGATAAACTACTAAGCTAAAACTAAAAAATGGTAAGAGATTTTAATCAGGCCTTCTCTTAGTTTATTAAATCCTCTGAACTTTTGGGGCACCTGGGTGGCTCAGTCGTTAAGCGTCTGCCTTCGGCTCGGGTCATGATCCCAGGGTCCTGGGATGGAGCCCCACATCGGGCTCCCTGCTCGGCGGGAAGCCTGCTTCTCCCTCTCCCACTCCCCCTGCTTGTGTTCCCTCTCTCACTGTCTCTCTCTCTGTCAAATAAATAAATAAAAAATCTTAAAAAAAAAAATCCTCTGAACTGTTAATGTCAGTGTCATTTGAGGTAGGGAGAGAGGCTACCTCACTCCACATTATTAAAATGAGGACACACACATACACACACACACACAGGCACACATGAGAAGGTAATTGCCACTCCCTGAAAAACAAGTTAGAATAAAATTTCCATAAGAATAGAATTCCAAGGAAAAGGGAAATCTCTCTCTCCCAGTAGCGCATTTTAGTCTACCACTACTTTTGGCCTAAAGCAGGGTTTGCAGACTCAAATGTTTATCAGGAGGAGTTGGGGTTACAGTGGATGAGAGAGGTGGGGCCTCTGGCGATTGAACAGAGCATGGGCATCTAAAGACACCAACCTCTCCCCAGCAACTGCTACCATCTAGAGCCCCTGACCTTGCTTAGTCAAATCATCTGATTTTTCAGAAGCCCCAAATACAGACTTTTACATTAAATCTTCTGGATTTAAACTAAAAATTCCCAAAAATATCAAATGGGGAGCAGCGCCTGGGTGAAGCATCTGCCTTCCTCTCAGGTCATGCTCCCAGAGTCCCAGGATCGAGAGCCCCGCCTCGGGATCCCTGCTCAGGGGGAAGCCTGCTTCTCCCAGTCCCCCTGCTTGTGTTCCCTCTCTCACTATCTCTCTCTCTGTCAAATAAATAAAAATAAAATCTTTAAAAATATATATATATCATATGGGGAAAAAATAAATAAAAGCAAAATCAAAATGTGAAGCCCTAATTTAGCCAGTGGTGCTATCACTTTACAACCTGTAGCTTATGGAGACACCTTATCAATGTTTCATCTAAGAAGACCAATCCTAGGTAACTAAAGTTTTCTCAGAAGCTGGAATATTTCCTCACAAATTTATATGCATCTCAGAAGCCTCTAGGCTTCTAAAAAATTTTGGATGCTTCCTTACTGTTCTCAGTACTCCACAAATCTTGCTAAGATATTTGCCCTACAGCTCCAGGAACCCCAGCATTCATACAACCCTACCTCTGCCTCATAGCTAGGTACCGGAGGTCCAGGCACCCCCTAACCACGAGGCCGTAGTCCTGCAGAAGCTTGCTGGCATCTTCTGAACATCCTACTCCAACTTTTAAAACAGTGCCATCTGCCAAAATGTCCAACAAAGTTTTTGGTAGTGTTTTTTCTCCACAGATCAGCTTGGGCAAGCGAACCAAGACACAGAAGCCACTTGGGGAGGCCATTTGAAGGAGTGACAGAGGACTGGCTTTGCCTTCCGAATTCACCTGCAACAGAGGAAAACAGGGAAACAGGTCATGCCCTACCACAGCACCCAGTACAACATGAAACTGGCAAAAAAAAGTCTAAGAGGAACATCCTTAACTTCCCAAAGGAAGCGGCTGACCAAATTTTGGTTCAAATAGAAGGAGGAGCCTATGCTAACGAATGCAATGGATTCTGTGAAGAAGCAACCTAAACAAACGTGAGCCTGAAATGTGAGCAGTCCAGAAAGAGTGACACAGAGGAGAGCTGGCTGAGTCACGTGAAACGTGCTGGTTTTAAAAGTCTAAGTGAAAAAAGGCTAAGGAGTAGAGTGCCAAATGATAAACACCTACTTTTCATTATCCAGATTCTCCAACATGCGTGCTAGGAACGCTACTCATTTACCGTATTGTTACTGCCTCAAGATCCAATTTTTTTTTTTTTAAGATTTTATTTATTTATTTGACAGAAAGAGACACACAGAGAGAGGGAACACAAGCAGGGGGAGTGGGAGAGGGAGAAGCAGGCTTCCCGCCGAGCAGGGAGCCCAATGTGGGGCTCGATCCCAGGACCCTGAGATCATGACCTGAGCCGAAGGCAGACGCTTAATGACTGAGCCACCCAGGCGCCCCAACAAGATCCAATTTTTGACAACAGGTAGAAAGTACAGTACTATAAGTAAGTGGTACCTGCCAATATAATTAAATCCTGGTAGCACAAAATGCTTTCTCAGCATTTTATGATCACAAATGGTGTTCACTAAGGAAAAAGAAAAGGTATATTGAGCATAAGCTAGGATCCTTGTATCTTGAGAAGAAAATCACTTCATATATTAACTGATTTAGTTTTAGGGCGCTTGGGTGGCTCAGTTGGTCAAGCATCTTCAGCTCAGATTATGATCCCAGAGTCCTGGGATCACGTCCCGCATGGGGCTCCCTGCTCAGTGGGGAGCCTGCTTCTCCCTCTCCTCCCTGCTCATGCTCTCTCTCGCTATCTGTCACTATCTCTCTCTCAAACTGATTTAGTTTTAATCTTTTTGAGATAACAGATAAGTTGGAGAAAAAAGCTGAAAGCTAAGAAATCATTCCCAGAAAAATTTACTTGCAAAGTTCACATTAATGAAAGATCCTCTAAAGCTATCCCACAGAACCCAGGTTAAACATCCAAGAAATCCCAATCCTCATTTTTTGGGAGAAGAAATTTAGAATACACTAATAATAGTGTATTCTATTATTAATAGATATACAATAATAACAGAATACACATGCAGGCATAATGTATTCTATTATTAATAGAATTAATAGAATTCTATTATTAACTAATTATAGTGTATTCTATTATTCATAGATATATAATAATAACAGAATACACATGCAGGCATAATGACAAAGTTAGGACTAGTACCCAAATTCCCCGATCTAGAAGGGCAGTTCTCAACCGAGATTCGTTTGCACCCCTTCCACTACTCCAGGGAATATGGCAACATCTGGAGAAATTTTTGGTTGTCACAAGTTGGGGGGTGGGGTGCACAAGTATCTAACTGGTAGAGGCCAGACTGCCACTAAACATCCTACAACGTACGGGCTAGCCGCTCACGACAACGGATCACCTGGCCCAGCTGTTTACAGTGGGGAACCCCGCCCTGGGCAGTGTGCTGTCTCACTACCGCGGATCATCATGCCAGGCCCTGTGCCACGTGCCACTGTGGCTATAAAGTTACGCAAAAGATGGAATGTGACTTAGGGATTACAGCCTTATTGGTAGAGTACAATAGACACAAGCTCACACCGTCAGAAATGACATGGTAGGGTGCCTGGGTGGCTCAGATGGTTAAGCGTCTGCCTTCGGCTCAGGTCATGATCCCAGGGTCCTGGGATCGAGTCCCGCGTCGCGCTCCCTGCTCCTTGGGAGCCTGCTTCTCCCTCTGCTTCCCTCTCTCTCTCTCTCCCTCTCTCTCTCCCTCTGTCTCTCATGAATAAATAAATAAAATATTTTAAAAAGAAAGAAATGACATGGTAAATATCAAAGGAGTGGTTCAAACAAAGTGTTACAAGTAATCCGAGGTAGGGTATTTCATAGCTGAGGTGACCAAAACCACAGAAAGGAGATAGTCAAGATCACAGAGCTGCTGTTAGAAACAAAACTCAGAGAGCCCTCGTCTTTGACTTCTACTTCACGAACTCATAAAAAATGTCTGGGACATACATACATATATAAATATGTATTTATATATGGCGCCTGGGTGGCTCAGTTGGTTAAGCGACTGCCTTTGGCTCAGGTCATGATCCTGGAGTCCGGGATCGAGTCCCGCATCGGGCTCCCTGCTCCTCAGCGGGAAGTCTGCTTCTCCCTCTGACCCTCCCCCCTCTCATGTGCTCTCTCTCTCTCATTCTCACTCTCTCAAATAAATAAATAAAATCTTTTTAATAAATAAATAAATATGTATTTATATATTATAAACATGTAGTACTATTTGTAGTACTATATTAACATGTTATAGACATTATTAAACATACACAAAAGTAAAAACTTTTAATGAATAGTGCCATCAAAAATCATAGACAAAACTTCTAACACTTTCTCTGTATTTCAGTGATTCACTTAGACAGCAATGATTTAGAGTCTCCTTTCTGAGGGCCAATGGATCATCCATTTTGGCTTCAGGAAGTCTAGAGCTGATAAAACTTTCTGGAAAAGCCCACAATTCTTTAAATGACCCCACGATGGCAGCAGAGAGTAAAGAATGATTTGGGACCATCTTCTGGGCTTTGAACAGATTAACGAGCACCCTTAGTCTATAGAGTTTATGGTATCAGTTAAATTTAGACCATGTCTTTGAGATACAAATGAGCTTGTCCTTTTCAAGTGACAGAATAAAGGCTTAATAAGCCTGGCAAGTAATAATAAGAGAATGAGAAAAAAAAATAGGAAGCTGGAAAGAGAACAGGAGACAAATCAGAGATGCTGAGAGAAGCCAGAGCATGTAAGTCCTTAAGTACAGATAAGTAATTAAGACATGTCAGTTTTATTCAAAGCAATGAAAGGGTTTTAAGCAGAGGACTGATATGGTCTGACTTTCATTTTTAAAAGTTCACTTTGGTTAGTAAATGGAGGAGGGATTGTAGGTGCACAGGGGTCCGAGCAGGGAGGACAGTCAGGAGGGTTCTACAAAGGTCCAGATGAAAGTCACGTGAGGCTTGGGCTAGGGAGGAAACAGAGGAGATGTAGAGAACTAGATGGAGGCAACGTCTATTTTGGAGATAGCACTAGGCAGTATTACTAGAAAGGGGTTAATGGTAAGGAAAAGGAAATAGACCTCCAGTAGGCCTGAAGCCTGGGCCTGCAGAACAATGCTCTTTGGAAAATAACCTTCACTTCATTCAATCTTTGTTGCACCAGTTATTTGCACCTGTTGATCAAGGATATCTCTAGCCAGAGACTCTAGAAAATATCAGGCAGGAGACAGGGGCCAGAAACATATTTAACACCTCCATCCCCACCTTCCCAAGAGAAAGGCATGTTTTACCTTCTAAAACACAGCAGAACCCTCATTTTGTACAAGTGATTTATGCATAATTGTACATTACCATAGGTAATTCAGCGGGGTCTGGAAACCCATACCTCTACCTCTATCTGGTAGCATGCTGTGTTATTTCCTGTTTCTGCAACTACTTCTCTGAATTTCTATATATTTTGCCATTGAAGAAACCCAGCATACCATAACCGCCTGTTTGTGTCTTTTTTTCCTTTTTCTTTTTTTATTTTAAGATTTTATTTAGTTATTTGAGAGAGAGAGGGAGAGCTAGAGAGAGAGTACCAGCAGGGGGAGGGGCAGAGAGAGAGAGGGAGAAGTAGGCTCCCCGCCGAGCAGGGAGCCCCATATGGGGCTTGATCCCAGGATCCTGGAATCATGACCTGAGCCGAAGGCAGACGCCTAACTGAGCCACCCAGGTGCCCATGTGTCTGACTTTCAATCTTATCATTTCTGTTAGTTAGCCCTTTGGGGGTTGGATGTTTCCCTGATTTTCATCTTAAAAGGGGGAGAACACTAAGGATAATAGAGATTTGGGAAGAAAACTCAAGAGTTCTTTTAGGAACATGTTGTTTGAGATGACTATTAGACATTGAAGGGAAGACATCAAGTAGGTAGGTGGATCTAAAAGGCTAGAGTTCTAATTTTGAGAGTCATCAGCGTTATCAATGATATTTAAAGCTATAAAACAGATGAGATCACTTAAGAGAAGAATGTAGATAAAGGACATAAATTAGTGGTCCATGGACACATCTGCTGATCCACAGACACGTTTAATATTATTATTGTTTTGGTCTCCACGAATTTAAAAACTTGCACCAAAATTTAAAAATTAGTAAAGTTCACATGTTTAAAAAATTTATATTCCAAGTTTCTCTGTAAAGAACTGGACAGCCTGGCAACACTTGGCTTGACCTGTATGGCAGCTTCCTCATTTTTTTAAGGCATGAATTCTTTAATTTACCATAATGTCTTCTCAACACTGAAGCCTGCCACCCTCCCCACCCCCCCACCCCTGCTTGAGATCATGACCTGAGCCAAAGTGGGACCCTTAAACTAACTGAGCCTCCCAGGCACCCCACCACTGTTTTTCTAATAGAAAGAAATATTTCTCAGGATCCACGTCTCTATTAAAACTAGGAAAATAAAAGATCATAGAGGCCTTGTATTTAAAGAAAAAAAGGGAGGGAGCATATTTCTTTATGAAGTTTAAGAATATCTCTATATGCTCAAAAATGCAAACAATTACTCCATATCTTCATTTACATTTCCCATCTGGAACTTGTAGATATATGAGTTTGCAATCCCTGGGGTAGACAGAGAAGAGACCAAGCCTGAGCCACCTCAATATTTAGATGTGAAGTAAAAGGGAGATCAGAAGACAAAAAAGAGTAAAGAACAGTATGACAGAAGACAGGAGAGTGTGAAGACATGAAAACCAAGAAGAATGTCTGATGTAGGAACGATGCAGATGCTTTTGAGAGCTAGAAT